TTAGACATAAATTGACTCAACAAATACTCGTCAAGAAATACCCCAAAATGTTGATTTCATTAAGTCATAAGAGATCACAACATCTTGAAAAAGATACAGAGATAAAAACCATCTATCAGCAGTAATAGTTTTTTAGGTTTGTTACACTCCAAGGTTGCGGCAGAGTCTTCCCCTCAATGTCCTGTAGCTCATAAGCTCATGTAGCTAGCACCCTCTGTACCATATATGGCCCTCTCAGTTCAATTTCAAGCTTTTCTACGTGCTTCAACATATCGACTTGTTTCCATACCAGGTCTCCCACTTGGAAATGTCGCAGCCTAACCTTCTTGTCATGAACCATCTGCATCTGCTGTTTATACAATGTTGTCCTTGCGAGCAGGTGCTCGCGTACCTCATCAACCATGTTAAGAGCTTCTTTTTCTAGATAGCTTATCTTCCAGAGTGTAAGTGGACACCCTTTGAGAGCTAAGGCCGACTCCACTAGCACAACTGTCTCCATACCATAAACCAAGCTAAACGGTACCTCACTTGTAGACACCTTCGGTGTAGTACTATAAGCCCATAACACCGTGTCTAGCTCATCCACCCAAGCTCCTAACGCTCCACCTAATCAACTATGTAGCCCCTTTAAGATTGTTCGATTCGCAACTTCTGCATGCCCATTTGCTTGGGGGTGAGCTACAGAAGCATAATGTTGTTGTGTGCCCATCTTCTTGCACCAAGCTCTTTTTTTTTTTTCCTCGAGATTGAGCTCCATTATTTGAAAGGAGAATACGAGGAATTCCATATCTACGACATATGTTGGTGAACTGAAATATTACGACTTTGTCTTCCATGATGAGCGCCATAGCTTCATCTTCTATCCACTTAATAAAGTAATCGACAACCACTAATAAGAATTACGAACTTTGAACATGCATGGATTGCTAAATCCAAGATTAAATTTGGCAATAGTTATTTCATTGACCAATGTCCAAGATATTTGGTCAATTTTATGAAAATTTTATTAAATGTTGCTCCTCATCATGCGCTAGCACCTGATATTAATTACATTATACATTAAATTTACACAATGTGCACCATTTTTAATTATAATGTACATTTCTACACGTAAATATATATAAGCAATATTGTTCCTAAAAAGCTACGCCGTCACGCTAGATTGAAACTAAATTTACTTTTATAATGTATATAAATTTTGCACACAATATATATATTGATCATGTTGCTAAAGAACTATTCTCCCCAATTTTTACTGTAGCAAATCCCCAATTTCTTTCTCATGTAATCCTCGATTTTCGTCACCTCGTTGTGCTTCCCGTCGGGTGCTTTGCACCCATGCAACATCGACGGATACCTGAGATGGAAGCGTTTTGGTTTTTCCTCTTCCGGCATGGATTTCCCCCTTGTGTTCAGGTGGCCATGGCTGGGCTTTGTGGTGGGTTTTCGACTTCATGTCGAAAAAGTCGTCGTCGTTGCCGACTTTCATCGTTGCCTTCGACGGCGGTTGGGGCCGTGGTAAGCGTCCATCTCTCTCCCTTGTTCTTTTGCTCTCCCTGGTGTTGGGTTGACGGGTTCCTTCGGCGGAGGCAATCGTCGTCTCCGATTGTTCTTGACTGCGGTTGCCGAATGTGTTGGGGAAGGGGAT